TAATGTTTACTAACTTATCACTGCAGTGATAATCGTCTGTGCATTCATTTTTAGTTGGCAGTTACACAGAAATACGTGAACAATATCTTATTATCTGGGTCATGAATGTTAAAATGATAGATATGAAACTTTTTTGAAATTTATATTTATATAAATACATATATACACATCCGGGAATGTACTACAATAAGTTGCATAGTATTTTTACTCTATTCTCAGCAACAGGAGCAGGACCCCACCAATTTGTATATTGCAAACCTACCACTGAACTTCAAAGAGAACGATGTTGAAGGATTGCTCTCTCAGTATGGGCAAGTTATTTCAACGCGTATATTACGCGACACTGCTGGACAAAGTAAAGGTGTTGGATTTGCAAGGTTAGCATTTAATTGCACTCACTACTTTATAATCCACAGATTTAATTCAAAGTACAAAATGTACCGTAGATCTTTGCATTTGAAATAACCGATATGTTTCACTTAGAATGGAGTCCAAAGAAAAATGTGAACACATAATCCAGATGTTTAACGGAAAGGCACTACAAGGGGCTAAAGATCCTCTATTGGTGAAATTCGCTGATGGTGGTAACAAGAAAAAATCATTATACAAAAGTACAATATGGAGAGAAACTGGAGAGGTAATTTGACTTTCTAACAGGAACCCATTAAATTCTATGCGATACATGGTTACATATATTGATCCTCATGTTGTATTTCCATAGAATATGACACTGAATTACGATACAAGCGGTGTTGGTCAAAATGGGGTTGCGACCACTCACATGCTACCCGCAGCCACTTTAACACAATATAGTCGTCATTATGGCCAAGCATTACCTGGTTACAGCGTACCAGGAACCCCATGGGTCACTCCTTATTTGGTGCAGACTGCCCCTCCACACATGCAACAGGTCGACGTGAGTTTTTGTACAGATTTTTGTTTCTTTTCATTTCCCTTCCCATCGAGGCATATTTCTATAGCTTTTCTATTATTTCTTTGAAATGATTTCGTTGTTCCAATACGTTTGAGAGATGCTGCTTTTGTAGTATTAATTATTTCTACCGTACAATGATGGTACAGTAATGAGAATAGCAGAATGGTGTATTTCTTTAGGCGAACTTAACCTGTAATTGTATGTTACAGATGATGCCATCAGCAGATCCTAGCAACCCACAATACAGTATGATTCCTCAGCTTACCACACAAATGTCTACATTGCATCTTGGCACTGGTTCCGTAAGTATCATTGTCTTTGCCGTACGTGTTTGTATCTAGGTAACATATATAGCTTCAGATCATCATCTCTTGCAATATTGCATTTTCCAGTACATAGCAGCAAGCCCACATCCCTATCCTTACACTACTTACCCTCCTAGCATTATTCATACCATGCCATTGGGTGATTCTGAACAGACAAGTAACGCGGCATCTCCTGATGACTCCTATCAACAATACCAAGCTCAGCAGCCTAAGTAGGCTATGGTTTTTAGGTATGAACACACAAAATATTTTCTTAACCGTTTTTCAAATTACACGGCGCGCTTTTCGGCCGGCGTTAGATTTTGAACTCGCGATAATTAACTCGAATGATAATCTCGGAGGCCAATTGTGTAAACTTGTGATTGTGGTATTTCAGATACGATTACACCGAGGGTTATGTAAGTTAGGAGAACAACACCTGTTGATACGAAGGATTATATTAATGAAGAATAGATGAGACTAAATACATTACATAAAGTCAGATAAGATTCTTCCTCATGATAATTGACTTGCCAGCCATCTTTTATACATTTTATCCACCAGATAAATAGGTGAAAGTAGTTAATATTTTCCAACGATTAGAGAATGAATGTTGTCATAAGAAGGGGGTACGAGTGCTCGTGTCATCTACATTGTTCGGCACCAGCACGGCTCCATACGCTGTAATCGCCAA